AGTTAATGCTGCTCAATGTGAAAGCCCGCAGGTGATGGAGATTTACCGCTGATTACAGAACCGGCTTTCTGACAAGATACGCGTTAAATATCGCATGCGATTAATCGTGCAGCCCTAGTTTATACCCTTTTTTTTCTTTTTTTATTTCTCCTATTTTATTTTAGTGTATTTTTCATTGTTTGACTTTATTAATCCCTCCTATTTTTTTTATTAATATTTATATATTATAGAATATTTTATATTTATTTAAAAAAAATTATTCCTCTTTTATTTTTTAAGCATTTATGATTTTTTTTTATTTCATATTTTAATTTTTTATTTTTCCTTGCAGGTGACTGCAGGCATTTGGTGCCTCGTTTTCTGTTACAAATGTATGCCAGCAAGCTGCAAAAATAGACTGTGTGTGTGCGTTCGTGAATGTGGAGCCTGCAGTGGCTCTTGTAGGAGGAAGCTGATCCTTCTTGCCTTGTTCTTCAGCTCCACACCCCCGTCTCAGATGAGGTCCTGATCGGTGCACCATCTCATTCAACATTACAGCATTAACACCAGCAGGAGAGAGCAGAGAGGATTTGCTGATGCTCTCCGTGTAGGATGAAGGACTGTAGGATGAGAGAGAGAGTAGGAGACATCTGAGGATGGAGGAGGAGCGGTGTAGATGCAAAGAAGAAATGACGTGTGTAGAGCGAGTCAGAGATGTTCAGAATGAACTTAATGCATTAGTGTATGTAGGTGCTTTTACACAGCAGTGTGAAACGTAGCTTGCATATAAGGTTAGATATTCGAGAGTTTTTATTTTTATTACCTCTTTAATAGTATGTTTTTATTTTTATTATATTTCTTTAATTGTTTTTTTTAGGAACCATATACATTACCGTTCACACCATTTGCATTAAAGTCGCGATGAAACGGAAGTAGCGACAGATCTTTTACTCTGTATTGTGACTTTTATTCCATTGTAATGGATTACTAAAAAAATGTAGGGCGGGGCTTTATGCATTGGTTGTTGATTGGATGTTGAGATGTGGGCGTGGCTTTCAACAGTGTATGCAGATGAGCGTGATCTTGCGGAGGCGGAGTTTGATGTCTAAGGGGGCGTTTACAAAACACCGTTTTCAACTAAAAATGGATAACCTGATGCGTTATGGCCGTTCATTTACACGACATTGGCGTTTTGGAAATGCAAACTTTTGAAACGGGTTTTTTAAAGTGCAAGTTTTTGAAAACAATACACTTATCGTCGCGAATTTGTGAAACGTCGTGTATTATGTGTTCACATAGTGTTTCTTTACAAAGTGACATTGCCAACTTTTATGTACTTAATAAAAAATACCCTGCAATTGTACTGTTTGTATTCTTAAAGTCTGCTAAATTGGAGCAACTAATTTTGTACGTAATGCACTTTAATTGTGTGGAAGTAGTGCTGAAGTCCAACTAAAGACATACTGAAGTATATTTGATTGTGCTAAAGTGGAACTATTGCTAGTATAGTTCAGGTGCACTTTAAATATCTCACATTTACAGACTGATATTATACAGAGATCCTACAGTCCTCATCAACAGTGGCATTAAAACACATTTTAGGCTTAATATTAAGAAATGTGCATTGTGCAATGTGCAATGCACTGTAGAGCCTTTTGTACCGTTTAGTGCCTACTGTTCTTTAAAAATAGTATGTGAAACTGCATGCATTATGCAATGCTACATGTTGCAGGTTTAATAAAAGCGATTCTTTTTAATGCAATATAATAAACTTGTGGCTTTTGTCACACGAGAAATTGATTTAATGCACTATATTCCCTGTGCTATAATGCACATTTTGGCAGCTCTGCTATTCCTACAGATCATTTGCCTACTAGCGCAGTGCGCTGCAGAAATGTAGTGCACATCAGTGTTTTAGTATCTGGGCGTGGTGAAGCTGTGGATCTGGGTCGAGATGCTCGGCCATCAGATGAAGCGTTTCGTTATGCTTCCCTATCATAACGCGAGTGGAACTTTTAAATATCATATTGCTGTAATGCTTAATGATATTAGCTTTTATTGCAGCTCGCCAAACCGATAACAGCCCCGTCATTCTCCAGCGATCCCATGAAGATGTTTGTTGCGCTGCTGTGTGTTTTTACACTGTATCGCATGTTTGCAGAGTTCACCTTACCGCACGCCTTTCTCCCTCCACGCCTCCGATCAAATTACTCTGATGAAAGACAGGCAATACAAGGCCTTTCCCTTCTCTTTCTCTCTCCGTCACATCTGCTTGCTTTCCGCTCGAATGCATTATACAGAAACGTTAAGGTGTCTTTTGGTTATATTAGTTCTCGACATTCAGGCCGCAATGATGCTTATTCTCAGTGTCATCGGGGAATCGCGGAAGGGGGTCTATACAAAAATAGCTAGTTTGGAGGTAAAAGCAGAGCGAGCTGTTAAAGACTGGATCTAAAACCAGCACTACAGTACTGAAGCATGAAATCATGCTGTTGGGATAGTCAGGCGGTGTGATGTAATCTTCTGGAGGTTGACTAGTTAAATCTGTTTTTTTTGCATTAATATTTCAAGGCGGCATCAAACAGAAATTGCAATCGTCTTCTCCGCTGTGATGCATATTCGAGTGAAACCGCTTCTTGAATAAAAAAAAATGTAGGATGGGACTTGATTTTAGTGTTAATTATAAATGATTAATCTATGCATATATATATATATTTGTTTTCAATTAATTTGCACTATATGAATAAAAAAAGTGCATGGATAAATGGTTTATAATAAACATTGACAATACTGTATGTAATGTTGCAGCTTCTAATTTTTATAGTGAAAATGTTGAGATTAAAAATTGAGGTTATGCCATCAACATTAACAATATTTAATATTTTATGTAGTAGGGTCAAAGACGAAAAAAAAAAAAAGAAAGTGTAATACTGCTTTAAATTGTTGTTGTTTTTCCCAAAAAATTTAAAAAAAAATTCTGTTTAATTTATTTGCAATTTTGTTTTTTTTGAGCAAAGTATATATATATTTGTTTTCAATTAATTTGCACTATATGAATAAAAAAAGTGCATGGATAAATGGTTTATAATAAACATTGACAATACTGTATGTAATGTTGCAGCTTCTAATTTTTATAGTGAAAATGTTGAGATTAAAAATTGAGGTTATGCCATCAACATTAACAATATTTAATATTTTATGTAGTAGGGTCAAAGACGAAAAAAAAAAAAAGAAAGTGTAATACTGCTTTAAATTGTTGTTGTTTTTCCCCAAAAAATTTAAAAAGTTTTCTGTTTAATTTAATTGCTATTTTGTTTTTGTTTTTCCGAGCAAAAAATAAATATCATAAATTTGTCCCTGGTTTACAGAAGAGACCCACTAAAATGTCATTCAGTGTAACAATCTTGTCAGGCATATTTACAACAAAAATCAATTTATGACACATTAAAAGACTAATTACTTTCACCCCAAATACTAATTATTTGTAATTTTAACATTTTTTACATTTGCCACTATCCTAGGTTTTGCCCATTTGTCAGTAAGAATTATTTACTCATTTAAAACACTATCAAATTTAATACGCTCCTTTATTGTTTTATATATTTTAATATGTACACGTCAGAATAAGCATGCTGTTTGAATTTTTACATAAATATTATGTTACACTGAACGACAATGTAACATTATTTCAACCAAATTTTGACATTTTATTCTCCAAAAACGTATTTGAAACCTTAAAAGTAGACACTTTACTAACATTTAATGTGCTTTTATGGACATAATCACTTTTGTACATTTCTTTTGATGCAGACATCTTAACGTCTTTGACCCAGTAATATATAACTTATTAATGTATATAATTTATTAAAATTACTTTTTTATATATATTTTGCATTATTTTATTTAATTAAATAAATAATTTAATTAAATATTTGTTTTAAGTATATTTATTTATATTTTTTAAACTAAAGTGTAATTTGTTAATTTATATATTATTGTTTAATTTAAAGAAAAAATTACAATTTTCAGTTTTTGCAGTGTTATTAATATTAAGTATAATACATGGTTTTAAGAATCGTTCAATTTAATTTATATTAGTGTCATTGGTAGTGTTGCTAAAACTGTCTTCAAATATGTCATGTTAATTTTTGCATGGTTTAATTTAATCTAAAATGGGAAAGAAAAGTAAATGCAACATGCAAAATACAAGGATGATGTCTTTTAAATTCATATCTCTTTAAAGCGCTGTTACTATAGCCATCGAAGCACAACCTTCAGCAATAGGATACTGACAGTTTTGTACAATAAATGTTGTAGTTATTCACCTATTTACCCTTTTGTAGGGCTGTAGTTGTTTTCCGTAAATGGCATCTGAAGAGGTTTCTTCTTTGAGAAAATCGATGGGATTTTACTGCTGCTAATTAACTAGTCGTTCAGACAGTCTACCAACTAGTTTGAATGTCAAACGTAACTAAACGCCTGTATCCCTCTCTCTTTTCTTCCTAGGCGAAGTCATGTATATGTCACCTGTGTGGAGCTCATTTAAATCGGCTTCACTCCTGTCTCCATTGTGTGTTCTTCGGCTGCTTCAGCAAGAAACACATCCACGAGCACGCCAAAAACAAGAGACACAACCTAGGTAAGATGCACGCAGAGACTTACTCATACGCATCTCAGCTGCTCTAAGGTAAGACGCGCTCCCACACGGAAAATAGAGCACACAATCGCCACAATTAAAGCTCCGATAGAGCTGATAAATAAAGGGCACACAGTCACAACACTTCAGGTCTCTGTAGGAAGGGTTTGAGACGCACATTGAATATTGAACAGAGAGATATTCTGATTTAATTAAATAGCTCAGCTCTACTTGCACCAAAACGAGGGCCCTGTATAATCCGTTTTATTTATTTATTTATTTTTTAATTAAATTTTAATACTCAAAGCATGTCTAATCATTTGAATTAATCAATCTTTAACAACTTAATAGTTTTTTTTTTTTTTTTACAATAATGGAGAAATTGTAAAGTTTTTTTTTTTTATTATTATTTTTTTTTTTACACTGAAATTCTTGTCTGTTTACATTTCTGGATTTATGATTATTATAATGAAAGAAAACATTTTTGGATTTATATATTTATGATTTTATATATATATATATATATTTAATTACAAAATGTTTTATTTAATTGTTTATTAAAAAAATATTGATTTATTATTTATGTATTATTATTTCAGTCGTAATTTTTCTGGATTCTGTTTTAATATGTTAATTACATTTTAATAATCAAAAAGCATGTCTAATCAATGAAATTCATAAAACTTAATAGTTAAAAATTTTTGTTACAAAAATAAATAAATAAAAAATTTCAATAATTGAGGCCTGTCATTTTTTCCCCCTGGAATTATGTGTTGTCTGTTTATTGTTTTCTGGATTATGATTTTAATAACAATTTATAATGAAAAAACAGTGGTAATTAAACCGTTAACAATTGAATTACTCTTTTAAAACGTAATCAGAAAATTTAAAATTCCTTTTGTCTTTTGCTAAACAAAGTACTGCACAACAGAGGTTTACTGTTAAAAATCATGGAAGAAAGTTTACACTTTAAATTCCATTTTTATGACTGGATTCCGCAATTATGTTTCCGCATCGAAATCATAGGGCCCTTCAAAACCCAGTTTCATGTCTGCTGTAAAAGCTTGATCGTCCTCTTGAGCAAGAAGCAGCAAGTGCACAGATCCGGCCGCGGATGCTTGGAAGGGGTCTTGGATTTCTCCCAGCTCCTTAATGCATCGCTGGCATGTAATTATCCCCTCTGTTATAATGAGGAACGGTGCCACCCTCCAACAACAAACAAATAAGAAGCGCAAACAGACGGGAATGTGGGTAATTATAGTGTGCAAGGGGATAATAGTCCCTGACTCTGCGTGTGAATGTGTGACTTGCGGCGTTTGTTTCCAGCGGTGGCATAGAGTTCATCACCCACCTGTTTCATACAGCTCTGAGCTTTACATGAGGAATTTAATTACTTTCTACCTCGAGATACGGAGCTGCCGTCTCTGTCTGCTACCCTTTGGGAGTTCCTTGTGTATTAACAGAGGAAGGAACACCTATGATACGGGCAACAGACTAGGGTTGTGACGGTGAGGAAATGTTCCCACCGGTTAATCGACGTGTGACAACACCGGTATCACCGCGGGGGTGGGGCGTTTCCTCTTTTCCTCTCTTTCCTTCGCTTTTAAATAGCTTGCAAAAGCGGTGTGCGCATTTTACTTTCACTTTCAAATAGCGGCAATTTGGCGTAAAGCAATTGTTCGTTTTTAGTTCATTTGAATTTTCCCTCTTTTCCTTCGCTTTTAAATAGCTTAAAAACACCGTGCGCATTTTACTTTCACTTTCAAATAGCGGCAGTTCGGCGTCGATCTGTGATGCGACTGTCGTTCGGCACGATGCATTGAGCAGCCGCGTTCAGTTTTTAATTGTAGTGTCTGTTCTTTTACTGAACTAAATTATTTTTATTACTATAAAAAAATCAAAACGACGGTGGGGGTCGGTGCCGCGGTGGGCAAGTGACGTAACCGGTGTTGCGGCTTAGCACCGGTATCACCGTCAACACCGTCTATCGCGGCAAACCTACAACAGACATGCAAAATATCGACTTGTGAGTTACTTCTGATTCCAACAGAAATGTTCAGAAATGTATATTATTTTCGAAAGGCAGTCTCTTTCTGTAATGCATCATTCACAGATGGCCTGAGTGGCTCGAATCAGCCATGCTGACTCATAATGTGTTGGTGTTGGACTTTGTCGCCCGTTTAAGCATCTTTTATGTCTCTTGATGAACAAATGAAGTCCCTTGCTGCTGATCCAGTGTGGTTTGTTTGGCTCCAGGTGATGGTTTATGGTTTCTCGTGCCGCAGGCGTCATAATGCATCTGCAGCATCACCAATAGCTCAGGTTTCGCTGCGTTCCCAGGTGGCATCGAGGCATCGCTCGTGTGTGTCGAGTTCCCCTCGGGGTTTGATTGAACATTTAATTAGGTTAGCCTGCGTACAAGGGATGTCTGTGAATGAGCGCAGCTCCCGAGGAAGAAAGCTGTGATTATTCTCCAAAGACGAACGGGGAGTAATTAAGTCTGATTGAGCCGGCTTCGTTTTGTGCATCTCTGTTGTTCAGGTTTATTTAGATGGCGTTTTGTTTTTTCGTCTTCTCTGTCTTGTCGGCTCACACTTGTCAGGCTTGATCTCGGTGTTCTTTCCTCTTTTTCCAGCACTGGTTCCCATGGTTACCTGTGTGTGTGCGCATCATGCAACCCCGCCTCGTTTTCTTGTGCAACTTCTCTCTTTTGTGCTTGTCTAATCCAAATAGTGTTAAAAGCCATCATGCATGACCACTGTCTTAAAAAATAGATGAAAATGCAACGCTTTAAAATAGTGTCAAAGTTGAAATAAGACAGATATATTGACAGACCTTTTTTCCATATTGTGAAGTACACCCAAATGAAAAGAAACAATGTAGTCTTGGTTCTATCCATCAGTTGTTTTAGCAGAGAAATCCCAATTTTAAAGCCCAAAGTTAACTAATTATACGCTTTAGCAAGCAGAGTTAATAATTACACTTATTTTTTCAAATGCCAGAGTCACCATGGTAAAAATTGTGACAAAAAAATGAGGAAAAAAGTATTCTTAAAAAATATACATATTTTTTTAATTAAAAATGGTAACACTTTACAAAAAAATAAGGTAAACCATTTAAGTATGAAATAACCGGTGTCGTTTTAGTATCATTGATTAACTTATTATTTTGAATTAGATTTTATTTTATTTTTTAATTTTTAGTAATCTTGTGTTTTTGTTTTTATATATATATATATATATAAGGTTTATTTACATATTTTACATAATGCACATTTTACTTTTTAATAATAATAACTTTAATAGAATTTATTAATCTAGGTTCATGTTAATTCTAAATACATTTTTAACATGGTTAACAATTGTTATGAACAAACATTGAACAATGGTATATTTATAAATGAACATGAACCTAGATAAATAAATTCTGTAAAATATTGTTGTTCATAGCCATTTGTTAACAACCATAAGTGCATTGAGTGGTAAAATGTTACCATTAAATAATGTTTTACATTTAATGACTCTAATGCATCAGGAATGGTAATGAACAGGATTATAGCTTAATAATAGGAATGTACTACTATCATAACAATATCAACCCTCTTCATTTTGTGAAGACAGAATGCATTTAATTTCTGTGATGCATTTGTGAGTGCAACAGAAATATTTTAGAGGAAAATAAAAGGTGTTTAATAAAAAAGGGGAAAAAATGGTGTTTATCCAGTAGGATTTGATTGGATTGTGGTCATTAGTACATATTGCATTTCGTTGCATTTTAATGCAAACATTTTTTTGGCTTGCACCAATAAACCATAATCATAACTTTGATTTACCACATGCCTGTGCTGATTGTTAAAGTCCTGCCAGTTGGACACTGAGACTTCTGTCCCTTTACAACAACTGAAAATAGCCGTGCGAACATTAAGCCGCTAGTCTCTCTGCACTGAAAGCCACTAAAAGCCTCATAGTCTCCCGAGCACCTGTCGGCGGCTTGTGCCAGGCTGTGCATTGGTGTCATGTCACAAATAGACGTCCGTCCCCGCTGCTGCGATCCACCTGCGAACATTTAGTGCATCTGTGTGAAACAGACCATCATTGGGTTGCCATGGGAACTGAAAAACAGGTACTGCCGCTGCAGGCTCGGAGAGATGGAGGGATGAGCATTCGAGAACGATAATTCATAAATAATACTCATTCACAATTACGGGTCTGCATTGATATTGCAAAGCTCGCTATGACATTTCACAGAGGACACGATATTGTGGCACAAGCAGCGATGGATGTTTTCTGTGCTGCACTCTAATTATTATTCCCATCACTTATTAAAGGAGGCAGATTTGCTGCACTGCTTGCAATGCTTCCTTAATGCCTCATCCATATTTACAGGACCGATACGGGAAGATGCGAACGCCAACTTCTCTAAAAGGCCTCTAATAGGTTCCTGTGTTGTTCTTCTCTCATTCAGCTATAGACCTTTTGTACGGTGGAATATATTGCTTTGTGTGCCAAGACTACATATACGACAAAGACATGGAGCAGATTGCCAAAGAAGAGCAAAGAAAAGCGTGGAAATTGCAAGGTAGGTCCCCCCTTCTCTTCTGCATAATGTAGTTCAGCTTCGCCTGTAGCTTAAGGGCCTGTTAATTCAGAAAACCAATGTTGCAAGCTGTTGGGTTGCGAGCCACAGGAGGGTAAGAGTGTGTGTTTTGTTTCAGACACTGATAACGGCTAATGTTTCTTGATGATTTTGCTATTGAATCTGCTTGATTGTAAAATGCAGCAGTGCTAAACCAGTTTTGTGTTTGCTGAAGGAAATGTAAAAAATAATAGTGTTCTGATTTTATGCAAGTTTTACACCGTTTCGTTTAAATGAATTGCTCTGTCTTTGTCATGACACTGCATGCGAATATAACAGTGACGTCATTGCTTTTTGGAACTGGTTTGATCGTAGGCCTCATTGATCTGAGCTCATGCAGTGAACACAGCCAAAATTACCCACAAATGTTTTTCACTTAAACTGAAGTACATAAGCTCAAATAAATCAGGCTAAATTATTTATATAAAAGTTAAATTTTAGACAAGCCCTAACTAGAATATATACATTACTATTCAAAAAGATTTGGAATAATAATAAAGAATTTTTTTTTTTGTGCTCACCAAGGCTGCATTTATTTGATCAAAAATACAGTAAAAAAAGTAAAATATTATTACAATTTAAAACAACTGTTTCTATGTGAATATATGGTAAAATGTAATTTATTGCTGTGATCAAAGCTGTATTTTCAGCATCATTACTCCAGTCTTCAGTGTCACATGATCTTCAGAAATCATTCTAATATGCTGATTTGCTGCTCAAGAAACATTTCTGATTATTATCAATGTTGAAAACTGTTGTGCTGCACAATATTTTTGTTGAGACTGATACATTTTATTTTTCAGGGTTGTTCGTAGGGCTGGACGATATGGCCAAAATTGATATCACGATATGAAACGTGCAGTGCTCATGTTTATTCAACGAAGTCAAACGGCACAAATAAATCAATGTATGGGAAACTGGTAATGTATATCAAAATATCGGAAATGTGTTTAAAAATCATATCACCGTTATTGAAAAAAATTATATCGCGATACATATTGATATTGAATTATTGTCCAGCCCTAGTTGTTCGATGAATATATTTGAAAATATAAATTATTTTTTACATTAAAAAAGTCTTTACTGTCGCTTTGTATCAATTTAATGCATCTTTTCCTGAATAAAAGTATTGATTTCTTTAAAAAAAAAAGTTTTTTATGTATATATTCATGTGTATATTCATAGGTTGCTTTATATGAAATATAATGCAAGAATTCTCTAAAACATCAGGTATTGGAGAGAAATATTCCATGTGGGAGCCTACGAAACGAGAGCTGGAGCTGCTGCGACACAACCCCAAACGAAGGAAAATTACAGCCAACTGCACCATAGGTAAGAACTTCATTTCCCACAGGCCTCGCTTCTGAGCGATTCCCCCGAAACCCTGCTCAATAATACAGCACTTAGTAGTTGATTAGGAGTCTGCCAAAACTCATCTGTATAAAACTAGTCGGTTCAAACGATCTTTTAGTAGTCAAGCATCTGGAGACTGCAGCGGAGCCAAAAGCACTCTGTTTATTGGCCAATCAGTTGCGAACATTTCATCAATTTTGGTGTGTGCGTGCCATGACGGAGAGAGAGTAAGAGTCTCTGTGCACACAAATAAGGAGAGATGTGGATGTTGGCCATTAGAGAAATAATCCTTCTCCTCCTCCTCAGTGCTACGGCTCTCTCCCTTCTCTCATTTTGGCCTGTTTCTCCTCAGTCAGAGGGCCTGGCACTGGAGTAATAGTGTTAAACGTCTGCGCCACAGGCCTGGCATAGGCGCTAAACGCTAGCCTCTCTCACACACAGAGAAACGCACTAATGCGATTAGCCATATGAGAGCCGGAGCTTCCATTGATCATTTAGGACATAATATGGCCCATGCATGATGAATTCAGTAGGGTTATTGAGTGAGGTGTTGGTTTAGAGCCTCTCTTACACCCAGAGTAAACCGGAGGCGTGCGGTGACACAACGAATCACGACAGCTTGAGGCTGCGTCTACTGGAAGTGTCAAAACATGTTCATTAAAGACGGGCCAATCAGCTGTGAGCTCAGCGCTTCACTTCAGGACAATAAAATGAAATAAAATCCTGTTTTCAACAGCAAAATCATTTTGCACAAATTAATTTTTTATACCGGTAGATTTGTATTCTAAAGCAACTAGGATTGGGAATTGGGACAGTTATACAGATATACAGAATGATGTTAAACATAAAATATAGCACTGCAGTGTAGTCTTTATAGCAGAACAAAAGAGTTTCTTGATGCAGTTTATTATAGTGAATCGAAAATAATATACAGCACAACTGATTCCTGAATAAACAACTCTTTTGAGTTGAATCACAGTGAATCAAAAGCATACAGCATAACCAGAATAGTCTGATTCTTGAGTAAATAACTTTTCAGAGCCAATTATTTATTGTGAATCAAAAACATTCTGCTTGACTAGTGAGATCGAACTGTTTCCTGAATGAATGACTCTAATGAATAATGACTCTAACGAATGAATGAGTAGGTTCTTTTTAGTGAATTGAAAACCTAAAGCGCAATCAATTGGTGTGATCCAATTGATTCTTTTATCGACTCTTTTGAGTTGGTCCTAGTGAATCAAAACCATACAGCACAACCAGAGTAGGCTGATTCTGAAGCAAATGTCTCTTTGAGACAGATTTTTAGTGATTAAAAAATATGCAGCATATCCGGAGTAGTCCGATTCTTGAGCAAATGATTCTTTAAAGCCATTTCATTACCTTGAATCGAAAACACGCTGATCCGACTGGACTGATCCAACCGATTCCTGAACGAATTACTCTTTTGAGCTAGTTCTTTTTAGTGAATGATACACAAAGCACAAGCAAGGGAGACAGCTAATGACTCTTGAGTCGTCTTTGTAAATCTAAAGCATACTGCTCAACTAGTGTGATCGAACCGGTTCCTGAACGAATGATTCTTTTAAGTGAGTCCTAGTGAATCAAAACCACACAGCACAACCAGAGTAGTCTGATTCTTAAGCAAATGACTCTTTTGAGCCAGTTTTTTTTTTTTTTATGAATCGAAAACATACAGCACGGCCAGAGTAGACTGATTACGAACTAATTACACTTTTGAGCCAGTTCTTTGTGGCAAAATGAAAACACTGTGCAACCAGTGTTACACAATCAATTCCTAAACGATTGACTCCTTTGAGCTGGTTCTTTGTAGTGAATCAAAAACATATAGCACAACCATAGTAGTTTGATTCTTGAGCAAATGACTCTTTTTGAGCCAGCTCTTTATAGTCAAATGTAAAAGATACAGCACGAAACGACTGATCTAGATGATTCCTGAATATCTATTGAGTTTTTGTATA